CCTGTGCATGTGTAGAGATTAGAAGAAATGTGGCACATCAGGAAGTTCCTCTGTCTAATGGAAAGATTAAGAATGTGGACTACCTCCTTGAAAGAGATAATAACAAGTATATTAGTCACTATTTCAATGTGTATCGTTTTGAACTTGAAAGGTGAAGATATAAGATCCAAGATAGCAATAAATAATTATAATGCTTTTTTTGCAAAATAGAAAAAAAAAAGAACCACATGGAAAGCAACAGAGGCATAGATACACCTTGACAGGAGGAACTGGCTTCCTGTGGAATAGACTCTGACTAGCCCTTCTAGACATTGGAGACCCAGGAAGCCAGTGGGATAGCTGCAGTCTGTAGACTAGCAGCCTCCACATCTGATGAATCATCTCTGGAATCATACCAAAGAAAAGATGGGAGAAATAAAGAAGAAACAGTCCCCATAGCACTGCGCCAAAGCAGTGAAGTGCCAGGTTTCTATTCTATTCGGGCAGTCCACTGATTGGATGAGGCCCACCAACATTAAGGAGGGCAAGCTACTGTACTCAGTCTATTGAAATCACTGAAAAGTGGATCTCAGTTTGTCACGTTCCCATCACTGTACCTAAAATAGTTCAGAAAACCTACTTACTTTTTTCATCTCAAGTTTTGAAGGTCACTTATAGACTCGTTGGTCTCCTGTCTGATGAAAGTATTGCATAATGCAGTGCTGTGTCAGCATGTTGGCCTTCTGAACACCTGGTAAGATCCATGCTTGGGGAAATGAATGCCCAGTGTTGTTTATTTTGTTTTGTGTGTTTTTCCCCCATTTTCCTTCAGAAAATCTGCCTGCCTAGCTGCAAGAGTTGAGAGACAAGGTGTACATTTTACACTACGTGGTGACATTTGATTGTAAAATGGCCATTTAATGCGTTTCTACAGCATCTCATAAAAAAACACATACACAACTACATGTGGATTAATAAATAATATCTGTTGAACAGTATTTTTTATGTTCAGGCAATTAACACTTCCAAAACCAGAGGCTTTGATTTCCAGCACTCTCCATGTTGTGTCTAGCCCTCGTCCACACCTCTGTCCTGACAAAGGGCAATTGAAAATCAAATTGCTGCTGGACATGGTGGTGTGAAAAACACATTTTCTGTTTTTATGTGTACTGTTCAACCCAAGGAAACTGTAAATAAACTCCTTCATTGTGGAGCAGGCTCTAAAAATATGATCAGAGAGATAGCAGTGAGCATTCAGCTTCAGATCAGCTTTCTCCAAACTTGCAAGCACTGGAGTGAAAGTTCACTTACAGGGTGAAGCCACTCCATAGCGTCTTTTTAAAACCTCTCTTGGCATCTCATTTTCACGCATCATCTGAGCTGACTTGAAAAACGTCAGAAAACACCACCACCCATTCCACAAAACAACTGCCTGGACAGTGTCTATTTCTGCATCCATCATTTATGGAACGCTTTCTGGGGGAAATGTTATTTTAAGTGTCAGCACTAAAAGATGGTCTTATTGAATTTGGCCGTTTCAGTTAGTAAATGTACTCTGCACCTACTCAGAGAGAGTTTATTTTTAATACTTGAAATAAGATATGTTTCTAGTTGCTATTTTTAAAACGCTATAAAAGAAAATAAGTGTATTCTGAGGAATTATTGCTTTCTGCTAGTGGAACTCGAAGCATCTGTGTAAAATCATATCGTGTGGGTTTGTCTGGTGAACACCACCCGGAGATGAGGCAGAGCAGATGATTCTGTTCTTCAGTGGTTTTCCCTCTGTGTTCAGGCAAGTGAGACTAACAACTAGCTTCATATTCAAGCAGAGCCTGAATGTCACCTCTCGAAAGGTGAAGACATCAGTGTCATTCGTGGAGATCAATCCCTGCGGTTGATCCAGTTTCAACTCTCTTTACATTCCAAAAACATTTCTTTCTGAACCTTCATAGTTGACTGTCTTAAAATACTGGATAGAAGACACATAGAAACACATACACATGTGCACCTGTGTATTTTACATATTGTTTATGAAAGGATTGACATTGTCCATTTAATCATTCGACTTCAATGAATGAATATAATACATACATAAATTGTACAATTCTAAATAACAGTAAATATGTGTTTTATCCTTAAAATGTTAATTTTGTTCTTTATATCACGTGTTTACATAAAATCATGGAAATGCTAGATATATTTAAGTATATATCTTTTCATTTATGTATTTCTACTTTGTCTTACAAAGATTAAATGTATACAACTCAAAAGTTTTAAAATGAGAAAATAAGTTATCTTCACATAAGAGTATGATTATTTTCATTTTATTTTTTAGCATTCTGCATTCAACCTATTTTATATGTACAAAAAGAAAGTTTTTAATGTACAATGTCAGGTCACTATCAGTTATTTAATTTTATAGTAGGAATTGGAGAAAAATCTATATTTAAGCCATACAATGTGCCTGGTCCTATTGACAAAGAATGACTCATTTGAAATGTTGTCTCTCAATGAAGAAATTGCTTAACTACAATTATTATTACGATGATATTGTGAAGAGATGAACTGCTATAAAAGATGTAATCCACTGAAGATTTGTACAATCATCAACTTCATTTCAGCTCAAACTTTTTTCACATGTTTCTTTATGAAGCTTTAGTCTCTACAAAAGCAATTGTTAATTTAAAAGAAAAATTAAAAGACTGAGGAGTAGCAGCAACTGAATTTAATTTGGCTCTTGGGACCAGAGAACACATTTGCACTTTATTCTTAAATTCCTTTGAGAAGAAACCAGTTCTGATTTTAGCTACATGGAGATTTGTGTGTGTACCTCAGTTGGATCACATTGTGAAACCCACTTAAAAATTTCTCTCAGATTCCGCAATATTAGCACATTCTTTTGAGCCATTGGCAAAATGGATTCAGATCATAAAGTCATTTATTTTGCATTGAGCTTTTGCCTGTCTCGTGTATTTAGATAAATTTTAAAGCAAAAGCAATCCCTGCTGTGCTGAATATCTTTAATAGTATGGCTGAAGTTTGCAATTTGAAATTCCTGAGTTCAAAGAACATTTATCAGCAACTTAATTTTATGCTTCAAATTTCTTAAATTTCACAGTAGTGAAAATTAGGGAGGAAAAATCTTCCTACCATAATTTATCACAATTTTCCTTACAGTTACGTAAAATATACAGCAACTTTTAAAGAAGTATCAAATTGTATGTGCTCTTATTTTTGCCACATTCTTTGAATTATTACACTTAATTGGGCATATATACTACTGCTTACACTTGCATAAATATATTTTAACACAAACTTTTCAATAAATAAAAACGACCATGTAAAAATTATTTTGTTATCACTGAGTCTTAAGAATAACAATATTTTATGGAACCCAATCCAAAAATCAGTGCTTAACAGCACAGATGTAGCCCCAGTTTATATTATGCTTAATGTATTTGTTTTGATATTACTAATACTAATGGGCTGGAAGTTTAATTATAAAAATATATTTATGCTATTCAAAATACTTCCAAAGATTCTGTTTGTGATTAGTTTTGAACATTTTATTGATTTTTTAAAAACTTTATTTGAAAAGAGAAGGAGAGTGGGAGGGAGGTAGATGGGGGGTAGAGAGGGAGAGATAGAGAAAAATTGCCATCCTATGATTCATTCTCAAGATGACTGTAAGAGTCCAGATTGTGCCATCAGCCAGAAAAATCAGTGCAGATATTCCTCATGGCAACAGGGACCCAAGTATTATAGCATTACATGTTAGGTACCAAAGGGTGCTACCAGGAAGTAGAATCAGATATCTGTATCCAAATGATAAAATTAATTCAGAATGAAAAATAAAAGATATTTTTCCTAAAAATACATATTATTGCTTATGCTACTTATAATACTAATTTATATCAGTATGTTATACTATAAAATTGGTTAACAGTTAATGAAATATATATTCATCAGATAATTGATACATTTACAATGCTGTGTCAATTTCCATTTGTTTTCAGCATACAGTTGGGGCAACCTTGACTTTGGTGTCACAACAATGATTTCTCTTTTCTTTGGCCCCTTATTGCTGTTCATGTTTCTCCCATGATTTACTGTCAGCTAAACTTGTGCTGAATTTCAAAAGAAATTAGCAAAATTTACATTTTTTATGTTGTAAAGAATAAATTCTCTTTGTAGAGAACGAATTAGGACAAGCCATTGTTCTGTTCATTTTAAAGGGCAGTCAGTAAGTACATCAGTCACTTGGTAAATACTGGAGAGGCTTTTTCCAAGTCAGTGTGTTAAAATGAGATTTCCTACCATATATAATTGAAAGCAGCTTGGTCAACCCAAATCTTTGCTTTAAAATAAGAAAGGCACAATGGAATTAAGAAAGACTGAATTACTTTTTCTCTCACTGGCTTCAGATCATTAAGTAATATCGTCAGTTCATTTGGAAGCCATATGATTATTTATCACCTAATCAATTTTGTGTGATAATTGTCTTAAAGGAACCAATAAATATACTTAAGTTGTATGCGTATCATTTTGTAAAATTTTATTTCCTAAGGGATACAAAGGAATTATAAACAATGTTCAGAATCAGTTGTGTTTAAGCCTATTGATGAACTTGGGGGGCTATACTTCTGAATGGATTTCCTTACAATAGGATGGACTGAAAAAAGGTGAATGGAATGATGAAAATGTTATCTATTCATGTTCTAAACCCAAAAAGTTAAAGCATCAAAAAATGAACGATGTAGGTTATACAGGTATATCTAAGTGTTAACAGTGGACTTTTTAAACTTTCTGTGTGTTTGCAAGTTGGGTAGTCAATAATTGGAGAAAGAAATGGCGAGGAACATTAAGGTTCTAATTTAATTTTTAAATCAAGAAATTGAACTATGATTTTCAATGACAATGTTTTATTAATCTCTTTTCCCTCCCCATCTCCCTCACCTCAACCCCCTTCCCTTTTGCTTTCTCTCTCCGTCTCTTATTCATTCACTCTTTCTTCTCTAAAGCTCCATTCTGACTTGGACAAGGGAGAGGGCACTGTGAAATACACCCTCTCAGGAGATGGTGCTGGCACTGTTTTTACCATCGATGAAACCACAGGCGATATTCATGCCATTAGAAGCCTCGATAGAGAAGAGAAACCCTTCTACACCCTCCGTGCCCAGGCTGTGGACATCGAAACCAGGAAGCCTCTGGAGCCGGAATCAGAGTTCATCATTAAAGTTCAGGACATTAATGACAATGAACCACGATTTTTGGATGGACCGTACGTTGCCAGTGTTCCTGAGATGTCTCCTGTGGGTGAGTAGGCAAATCAAAATTCTCTCAAATGTTATGAGATCTTTTCTACTTTTTTTTTTTGCAGGTTGATGTAAGCATTTTATTTGTAACCAAAAACTATCGCCTTTCTATAGTAGAGGATGCAGCTGTTCTCATTTACTTTGTCAACTCCTTTTCTATTTAGCTGTTTTTCCTGCTACGTTAGATAGAGCCACACTTGAATTATCTTATGTTCTTCATTATTATATCCAAGTTGGGGGATTATCTGAAATCATAGAATGTGTTTATCTTCTAAGCCAAAAAAGTAATAGTTTGTCTACACATTGTAGAAGTCAACCATTATACAGCACAAAATACCAGATGGTAGTTCTTATGCAGTCTGTTTTCCTGAGTGTGAAGGACAACAGCAAGAAGTAATGCAGACAAGGGTGTGTTGCCTCCTCTGTAACGATTGAGAGGTTTCCACAGTCTCATACGATTTCCTTTATAAACATAAGTCACAATACAATCAAATCAACTGGCAAATCACATTGTGAAGTTATCTTTGCAATAAATTGACAACTAGGCTATATTAGCATCATCATTTTAAAAAATAACCCTTATATAAATCAGACTCATTTAAGTATTAGCCTAAATATATGGAATATTATCTCAAGAAGATACTTCAGAAACTATGGAAAATGGAACTCAGAGCCAAGTTTATTTTGGTGCAAAACATTTTGAAATCTGCGTAGAGATGTCTTTGAAAAGTTCATGGAAATGCATCTTAAAAAAATACTAAGCGTGGATTTCATGATTTTTGCACCAATCAAGTTTATATTTTAACTCTCCCTCTCTATGAACCCTTGAAGTACTATCATATGTACAGTAAGATGTGATAAGGGGGAGGGATTTCTACGTTAGTGAAAATGTCATGCTGTAACTTTGATTCTTCAGTGACCACTGTCAATCTCACATTTTATTTCAAAGTAATTTCTACCTCTTACCATATCTGGAAGATGGATTTGGTCATCACTTACAGGTTACTACTTGAAACTTGTGTGTGAGTCATTTTTAACACTTCCTGAATCCTGTATCCAAGGACTTTTGCTGTACCTATAACTCTCCAGAACATATACTGAAGACCACCCACACTACACTAAAGACCACCCACACTACCCCACGGCCAGAGGGTTACTCTCTGCTAGGAGTTGTTACATGGATTTTCTTCAACTGCACTTCAAATTGTAAATGTGGCCTTATCAGACATAGAAAGGCGAGTTTCTTTTTGACCAGAGTAGAGTTCAGATATTAAACCTGAAACATTATTTTATTTCTTAGTTCTGCTACACTTTTGGAGTTCCCTTTTTAATTCAGCAACATGATCACTAAATATTTAGACATAAATTTGGGAGGAAGTATACCTTACTAGAAAATAATCTAAGAAAACGTGGGAGAAAATTTTTTGAGGGTTGCTTTTACTTCACTGAGCCGAAGATAATATTTTGAGAAAATGTAAGGTGTTTAAGAAGTAATGCTTTAAGAAAAACATATAATTTATTCCATTCCTGGTGTAAATTGAAAATGTGGACATTTTGGGATCCCAGGGACTCTTTTATTTATTTATTTATTTATTTATTTACTTACCACAACAGCATCTCAAAGAAAACATATATATCTGTTGAACTATCAAAATCTCTTGAGCAGGACCTCAGAGCATACCGATATCGGGGACCCTGGGGCTGGTGTTGGTTGGCTGTTCTCCATCCCAGGGTGCAGAGGCATCTGGGAGGTTGGGTGTGGGTTCTCTCCTTGTCTCACCTCTTCCCCCAGATATAGGAAGGAAAAAAAAGAGAATGTGGAAATGGTGATCTTACTCAGCTTCCTGTAGCCCTTGACCCTAATCATCCTAAGCAACTATGTAAAAATCTTCAAAAAATAAAAATAATTAATGAAAAAACATAATATGCCTTTTCAGGAACCAAACATCGTCTTATTATACAGTTAGGTCTTTCCTTGTGCTCACTAGGATGCTCGGGAGGGTTGCCCAACTATTACTTTTAAATGAGAAGTTTTCATCTAGTGCCTGAGGAGCAAAATGCATTTAGGAAGTCAGTGGTAGGATAGGTGAGTAAGAATACAAAATAGGTTTAGCATTTCCAGTATTGTAAGTGGGGCATAATTTATTGTGCTTACAAGGAAGATACTTTGCAATATGCATCTTTACTTCTGGTTAAAAGATGGACTCCTGATGAAACTGGCAAATGTGTCTTGACCGTAGGAGGCTAGGACTTCCCGCCACTGTCTGTATCTACAATGTGAGGATACACTAAAACAGTACAGTGATAACTTGTGACTGCTGTAGAAGCACTATAATATTGTTACAAAACGGGGGAAAACAGTGATAAGGGGTGAAAATTGGGGCTGGGGTAGCTGAGATCTCTGAGCCTATAGAACTGAATCATAAAATTTTTTTTTAATGAGAAAAAAAAGAACTGTGGAACGTAAAGTTTTCTGGTTTATTCCCTTGTTCCTTCAGTGAACTGTCTCATTGTTTGAGACAATTAAACATATTTTAATTTAACTTCTCATTTTCTTCTTCTTTTTTGATATTATAGAGAAATGTTCCCTTTGAATGAACCACATTACATGCCTTCAGTTATTTCTTGGTGTTCTTTGACCATATTTTCTTAAAATTTTTCAGATGAATGTAGAGACATATCCTTATGTTTGAATTAAATGTTAAAAATAAAACAGGTATCTTTTTGCCCTTTCCTATAATTCCTGCAATATTCATAAAACCAAAAACCATAAAAACCCAGTTGGGTATCTGATACCTCTGTCTTCTGTTCTTCTCTGACCACGTTAAAGCTAATGACCAATCATGGTGCATCCAGAACTCACAGGGGGATACTTCAACATGATCATGGCACGCTCAGTTAACAGATTTATTTGGTGAAAAAAAAAATGCAAACGGTAATCATAGCTTTTTCACTACGTACATTTTCATGACTTTTAAAATCTAAGCACAATAAGTGCATTTCAAAATCTTCTGAACCAAAATAAATTTTTCAATTCGATTATCTTCTCAAGAACATGCTGAAGTCCGCTTGTACTTAATGCCTGCTTGCATAATGTATGAACACCATCAACTAATATCTCTTACAAGATGCCAATTGTTTACAACTCTGTTCATGTAAACACTGTTTTTTTTTTAAGGATTTGCTTTTTCACCTTCAGTCTCAATCTTACCACTACCAATTACTTTAAAATATTTAATAGTTTGTGGCCAAAATCGTATAGAAATGTCAAATATGTGACAACAAATCTAATGTTTATTATAGATATCCACATTTAAATATTCATGAGAAAAAACTCTTTCCGAATAAATTGAGAGTGTTTCTCTTTAATTTGCAATAAAAAGGAAGAATCAATAAATTTAAAAACAACTGTTCTGAACTGTCTTATTTTTAAAAAAACAAGATGAGAAAATAGAGTATTGAAACATAGTTTATTGTGCAAATTTCAGTTTTGTGAAAATACATTATATATATGGAAATCTGCTGGATCAATAAACCTGCAAAGAAACATAACTATGTTGAAATTTCATATGTATACATAGAGAGAATGGTGGTGAGGTGATAGATAGAGACTTTGAAGGAAAATTAATATTTAAAGCTTGCAACTATGTGTGCTGCAATTAATTCCCTAATGTTGGAGAAAATTCTAGTGAATGTATGAATTGTTTAAGAGAAAGGTCATGCTGTTACTAACTTCTGCTACATCCAATGTGCCGTGGAAGCAGTATTTAGAGATAAAGTGCCTCCACTTTGACCTAAGGAAATTACTTAATGATGCAGATATTCCCCAACTCAACACTACTCCTTGGAGACAAATTTGGACATTATAAATGTGGTCTTAATTCTTTGAGATCACTAAAGTAAAAGTGAATTACAGTAATGTGCCCTCTTTAATATCTGATGATTATGCATCAGTGGAGTGTGCAGTTTAAGTTACTTTTTCTAGAGTGCTGACAGGTTTAGAGTGTTTAAATCCATGTTCGTGCTTTTATTATCTTCTTCCACCTGAACTAAGTCATTTTGGGGTGGTTGATTGGAATATTTATAATCAGATTCATTTGACATGTTTTAGTAGATGTCACTTATGAGTTATGGTGTATATAATAAGACTTATATTTCCTAAGAAATAATCAGGTGCCAGATGATCTAGAAATTACCATTCTTTATTTAATCATTAAATAATCTGTGCAGTTTTATTATTTAATTTTTATGAGACCATTTAATAGCACGCATGTTTATAAAAGCAAGAATGACTCTCAAGATTTTTAGAACAAAGTCAACCGCAGCCAATGATATGTTTTTTTTCTAGTAATAATGTCTGTTAAACCATGTTTAAATCATAAAACATAGCTTTCAGTCTCAGATTCTCTGCTTGGGAGTATGGAAAATTTTTAATTTTATGTTCCATTGTACAGTTTGAGAATGGTGGTCCCTGCCTATAAACAGGATATCTGAGACATAAATATATCTTATCCCTGTCCTTATGAAAGAACTAGCAAGACAAAGGAAGGGAGAACACCTCTAGTAAAAGTCATGCTCCATTTATGTGTTGATCTCGAGGATGAAATCCAATCCCTTACATTATGTGTTATTGTTAGTTAGGGAATCAGATTACCAAGAGCTTGACTCCAACAAGCAGAGATCATCAGTGATCCTTTTTTTAAACAAGAAACAATGGTTTATTGTTTTTATTTGAGAGGCAGCATTGCAGAAATAGGGTGAGGCAAAAAGAAAGTTCTGCTATCTGTTGGTTCTTCTCCCAGTGGCCAGATGTGAACTGATCTTAAGTGGGAAGCCAGGGGCTTCCAGCTCTGTCATGTGATTGCAGTGGCCCTAGGACTGGAGCCGTTCTCCACCTCTTTCCTAAACAATAAGCAGGGCGTAGGAGTAGCCAGGACTAGAATTATGTCCCCTAAGGGATGGTGATGCCTGCCACAGACTATGCCTTGGCGTCCGCTCCAT